TTGGCAGACCTGCCGTCGGGGCGTCGTAGTTGAATGCGTAAGCGATCCTGCGACGCCCCATTAAGACGGGGGAAGGTTTTGTTGGGTTTTAGTGGGTAGTACTGGCTGTATTACGCCGGTGAGTCCCACACGTCGTTCTAAAAACCATAGATTCTGCCTCTGTATTGATAATAATGTTTATTTCAATTAGGTAGATTTTCCAAAAAATATCTAATGTACAGATTCGGCTTAGTTACAATTTTATTATATGTATAGATTACTTATAGATTAGATATAATATCCATAGAGTTTTTTTACTGTTAATTATTATTGGTTTAAGATGTTTTGTGAGTTAAATGTCATTGACCTTGCTTTTTGTTTCACATCAAATAAGGCTGTATTTATAAAGCATTTTGCACTTGAATAAACATTCAATTATTTTGTAAAAAATATCCTTTGTACTCGTAATATATTGTGATAAACTCTTTGTTGCTATTTTAATATTCTATGTACGCCATTTTATATCTGTATAATATTTTTTATCTATCGATACAATATTAAAATCGATGCGTTTCCTATGGACTCCAAAACGGCTGGAGCGATTTTGATGAAATTTTCAGGCAATCTTCAGTTAACCCAGCAGGCCAGGTTACCGTGTGAAGTTTGGTAGCGATCGGAAGTTCGAACGCGGGCGAAGCCGCGGGTAGTGTTAATTTTTTATAAAAAGAAATATAAATTAATATTTCGAGTCAATAGATATAGTGCTGCGATGATATTTCACTACATAGCTCTGTTTTTCTAAAATTAGTCAGCCTTCAAGTAAAAGAAGACAGAATAAGGCACTTTGCATTGACCTTAAACTATAACTACCACGATAACTATAATACAACATGGATAGTATCGACCATGAATAATATTTTGCTCGGCATAGCTAATAAAATCAAATCCTACTAGTAGATACTTCCACAGACTAACGCTATAAAACTAATAAAAAAACAAGTCAGGTTCTTATCAGGTTTCTAATATTAATATCTCATAAATAACTGACTTATCTCACAACTTTCAGCACGGACGTATATAGGTATCTCAATCGCAAAACAGTCGAAAATGTCTATGTAAAAAGCGGTCACTATCGGGATCCAACACAAATAAAACACTCACTAGTACTGTAACACTAACCACTGTATTAATCTCGTTTTAAAACAAACTCAAAAACAATATTCTATTGACTCGGGTCATAAAATCGTTTTGCGTCTTCAATAGCGCGATTTAACTTACCCGTAACGCCATCTATTGACAAACTATTACAACTAAGCTAATTAGACATTCCGCCCACCAAGAACTCCGTTCTTATAACAATTACTAAAATAATCTTACATCAACAATTATCCTACAACTTACTAAAGTAAACAATAAAGATGCTCTATATTAAACTCCCAGTTATCATTAGCTGCACATCGATTTACATTATTAATAAATTTAATGTTTACAACAACAAAATAAAAAAAATCTCTAGCACCGCCCACCGTGCTAATCCGATATGCATGTATGCAAACAAAAAATAGGAATAAATGTAATCTAAAAATCTAAAAAAAAACAACAATAACATAACAATCAATCTACTACTAACTAAATAGAACCATCTGTTGGTAGAAAACATAGTTTATTACAGGGCCGTTTAAACATACCCTTTTGTGTGTCAATAGTTACAACTCTAACAATATTATCTATACCTGGGTGAGTTTTAACAATTTTACCTAAGAGCCATTTGGCTGGAGGTATATTGTCCTCTTTTATAATCACAATATCACCTATCTTAGGTCCAACCTTATGGGTTGTCCATTTGTATCTATTGTTAAGTGTCACTAAATACTCAGTACTCCACCGAGCCCAAAAATGTCTGACCATTTTGTTACATATTTGCCACCTATCTTGAAGATTAACAACATTGTCATCTTTATGTAAAACGTTTAACAAGGCTTCTCCTACCAAAAAATGGCCTGGTGTCAGCGGGAGAGGGTCGTTAGGATCGTTGCTTAATATAGTTAATGGACGCGAGTTAACGCACGCTTCAACCTCTGCTAACACCGTGGACAACTCTTCGTAGGTAAGTGTACTCTCACCAATAACTTTTCTTAAATGTGATTTGACAGAACGCACTCCGGCTTCCCATAATCCACCAAAGTTCGGTGCTTGAGGGGGAATGAAGTGCCAATTTGTATTTTTAAGTGCGAGAGCTTCAGCAATATCTTGAGTGAATTGTGATTTAGCACTGTTAAACAAGACTCGTAATAATTTGTCAGCACCAACGAAATTTGTGCCATTATCGCTATACAAATCTTGGCAATGGCCTCTTCTAGATGTAAAACGTTTGAACGCAGCAAGAAAACCTTTTGATGTTAAGTCTGTTACTGCCTCAATGTGAATTGCTCTCGTCACCATACATATGAATAGACATATATATCCTTTAAAAGATTTCGAACCTCTTCCAGGTGAGAATCTAATATTAATGGGTCCCGCATAATCGACTCCGGATGATTTGAATGGTTTACTTGGCGTAAGCCGTACTTCAGGCAGTTGACCCATTAATTGAGTAGTTTTGGTGTTCGAATATCTTCGACACGTTAAACATGTTCTGTAGTATTTTTTGACTCGTTCTCGTCCACGTAAAATCCAGTATTTTGAGCGAAGATAGTTTAACATAATTTGAGGTCCACCATGTAATGTTTTGTAGTGTGCATCCGTTATTAACAACCGTGTAAGATGACTCTTAGAAGGTATAATGATTGGATGGCGTTCATCATAACTCAAGTGTGCTTGGTCAATGCGACCACCCACTCTTAAAATGCCGTTTTGATCCAAAAGCGGATAAAGAGTGTGAAGTGCGCTCTTCTTGGTGACACAACTTTTATTTTTTAGATGTCTCATCTCTTCTCTAAAATGAAATTCCTGTACTTGTTTTATACACATCTGTAAAACACTGTTCATTTCTTGAATAGTAATGTATTTGGGTAATTTATCACGTTCTTCCTTAGGTTTTCTCCAATATAAAATTCTTTTGCAATATGAAATAACTCTTAACATTCGATTTAGATTTGAAAATTTAGTCCACTCAAATTCTTCATTTTTGTCTTGTATAATGTTCATTGATTTAATCTTTTGTTCTTCTTCTGTTTCAGGTATCTCGTCGTGTTTTCTTTTCAGGTTTACATCATATATCCAGTTGGGTCCATGCCACCATAAAGCATTCTCTTGTAATTCTATAGGTCGTAAGCCGCGTGAGGCGCAATCTGCAGGATTCATATCCGTTGTTACATGACTCCATTGTTCATAGTCTAATATGGTTAATATCTCCGATACTCTGTTGCTCACAAATGTAGTCCATCGCGAAGCACCTCCTTTCAGCCACGCCAGCACTATTGTAGAGTCTGTCCAAGCATAAAGTTGTTGTTTAGGAATATTCATTACTTGAGAAATTTCAGATAATAGTTTAGCCGCTAAAGCTGCGCCACATAATTCCAGCCTGGGCACTGAAAGTTCCTTTTCTATTGGAGCTACTTTTGTTTTCGCCGACACAATGGATGAGTGTACTTGGTTAAATTGGTCCACAACTCGAAGATACACTACTGCCGCATAACCAGAAGTAGATGCATCCGAAAATGCGTGTAGTTCCAGTCTGCATCCTTTTGTACATTTTAACCATCTCGAAACACTTATAGCCTTCGTTTCTGTCAGTTCATGTCTGTATCTCAACCATTCTTCTAATAACTCCTCGGGTAATTCATCGTCCCAACCTAACTGTGCTTTCCATACCTTTTGTATAATAATCTTGGCCCGAATTACTACTGGAGCAATCCATCCTAGGGGATCATACAGTCTAGCGATGTCTGACAACATTTGCCGTTTCGTAACAGCTCCTTTTATCTCGGTAAGTCAATCATATATTCGAAACTGTCTGTTAGTCTATTCCAACAAATTCCTAACACCTTCAACATGTTGTCGCTCTTTATTGGTACTGATATCTCTATGCTATGTTTGTCTTGTCCTATGTATTGTAATAACTGTTTACTATTGCTGGACCACTTCTGTAGTTGAAAGCCTCCACTGTTCATAAGTAAATTCATTTCTTCGTAAATATTTATAGCCTCGTTTTCTGTGTCACAGCCCGTCATTAAATCATCTACGTAATAATCATTTTTTGTTATTTCAGCTGCAATTGGATACTTCGTCTTCTCTTCATCAGCGAGTCTCTGTAATGATTTAATTGCTAAGTATGGAGCACAAGCAGTTCCAAAGGTAAGAGTAATTAGTCTGTAGTGTTGGATTGGCATATCTGGGTTTGATCTCCACAAAATCCGTTGGAAATTAGCGTCATCTTTATGTACAAGAACTTGTCGGTACATTTTGACAATATCAGCTATAATACATATAGGATGTGTACGCCAGCGCATTAAAATGTGTCTCAGATCCTGCTGAATTTTGGGTCCAACCATCAATTCATCATTAAGTGAAACACCGTTGTTACCTTTTGAAGATGCGTTCATGACGACGCGTACTTTTGTCGTTTCTTTGTCATTTCTAACAACAGCGTGGTGGGGAAGGTAAGTAGCTCGTGGATTCTCCAGATCGTCGTGTGGCACAAGCTCCATGTGGTTTAAGGTAAGGTATTCCTCCATTACTTTTTCGTATTCTTCTCTCAAATTTATATCGTTTTGTAGTCTCTTCTCTAAATATAATAGTTTTCTTTCCGCTATCTTCTTTGAATCTCCGTATTGACATCTGGGATCTTCTACTTTAAAAGGTAACCGTACTATAAATCTTCCGTTCTCATTTCTGGTGGTAGTTCTCTCGTAAAATTTCTCACACTCCTCTTCTTCTACTGTAAGTTTCTTCTTGATTAAATCGGGCTCCGCTTCAATTTCCCAAAATTTTCTCAATACATCATCACTTCTCATTTGTATGTGCATGTTTATTATACTCTTTCTGTGTAGTGAATCTCTTGGTATTCTTCCAGATAGTACCCATCCGAAAGCCGTAAGTTGTGCAATTAAATTGCCCTCTGGGTGTTTCACCATATTATTTTGTAAAATCTCACTGTAAACATCTGCGCCTAAAAGGATATCTATTTTCCCTGGTGTGGCGTAACCTGGATCGGCTAACTGAAGTTGCTCCAAGTGTACCCATTTAGGAGCGCATAGTTTGTCCCCTGGAAGTAACGACGTTAGTACTCCTAAAACGTACGCATTTACACGGTATTTAGCATTTGGATTATAGCGTGACTCTAATAATAACGAAACCGAATATTTAATTCTTGTTTGCCCGTCTCCCAAGCCTGACACCACACCACTTACTGGTATTCGTTTAAGATTAAGTAATTGTACAGTCGATTCGCTTATAAAAGACGCTTGTGATCCTTGATCCAGTAGCGCGCGTATGTGATATTTTTCTCCAGTTGTAGAGTGTGCGTTAATAATAGCTGTGGCCAATAGTACATTATGACTCTGTAGTCCTTGCGCAAAGTGAGCCACAATTCTTGTCTCAGTGTTACTCTTGTCACTCTTTTGTATGTGTATTTCTCCCTCGTTAGTGTTACTCTCTTGGTGTATAGACCCATCCTTCTCAATATGTAGCATCGTATGATGTTTCTTGCCACACTTCCTGCAGCTCGTATTTTGACGACATTTATTTACTATGTGATTTGGACACATACAGTTAAAACATAGTCTTTTATGCTGTACGAAATCAATTCTCTCTTTTATTGGTTTTTGCTCAAACTTCTGGCAGTGATATATGTAATGTGACCCGTTACATAAAGCACAATTATTATTTGAGGATTTGGTAACCTCTTGCACTGCTGAATGAAATGCTTTGGGTTTTGAAAATTGGTTTATCTTGTTAGAAACTGAAGACTTCACAAATTGTTTGCAAGGGTCAATCATTTCAATACTGCGGAATCTACTCTCTAAGAATTCAGTAAGTTGTGCCCATGTCGGTAAATCAGTTGTTGAACTTAACATTTGTTCCCATAATTTATGTGATTCTGTGTCCAATTTAGATACAACTAGGTAAACAATGAAAGCGTCGCATGATTTCGTATCAATTCCTATGTTCTCTAGTGATTGTAAGCATGACGTCGTGGTATCAAGTAGTTGCTTTAACAAATTTGCTGATGCAAATGTGAGTGTTTTTTTGTGCAAATAAAGTTTTAAGTATAGCGTTAGCGTTATATCTTTTATTGTTATAACGCTTCACTAGCTGTTTCCAAGCTTCCTCATAATTTTGTTCAGTAATAGCAAAGTTGCGTAGTAATGTCTCTGGTTCGCCTGTCAAGTTAGCTTTTAAGTAATGCAACTTTTGTACGTTGGATAGCGAAGTATTATCGTGAATCAATGAAACGAACATGTCATAGAAACTCTGCCATTCTTCGTATTTACCGTTAAATATGGGTAATTGAATGCGTGGAAGTGGTATTTCTGAAGTTTTCATGGTCTCAGGTGTTAACGCATATGAACTCGTAGGTTTGGTAGCTTTCGCCCCAAGGGCAGACTTTAATGCAGTTTTGTATGTAGTGTATTGTTCTTCAAACAAATCATATACGTCACTCGTAAAGTATGTTAATGTTTCTTTGCTGCTCTTCGACACAGTGGAAATTAATTTTTTGTGTCCTTCCTTAAACTCATTCCAAAGTTCTTCTAAGGTCTGTAATCTTGTTTCTATATAAGCAGTAGTTAATCTCTCTTTTGGTGACTTTTTATAATTTATTTCGGCCTTTTGTAGTCTTTCATATAATTCGGTTTGTATAATAAGTATTTCGTTAGCCATTGTGAAGTTGTTTAATTCACTATATTAATGTGTTGATAATTAAAATCTCTCATGTAGTTTGTTCGCAAAAATTCTGCAAGTCCAAGAAACACTTCAATATAAACACAAAAAATTAACAAGTCCCAAAAGCAAACAAAATTGTCTAAGCTCATGTAGTGTAAACGTGAAATTTTACAAGTCCAAAAGTAAGCAAATTTTTCTAAGTCCATATAATGTAAACGCAAAATTTTACAAGTCCAAAAGTAAGCCAATTTTTCTAAGTCCATATAATGTAAACGCAAAATTTTACAAGTCCAAAAGTGAGCTAATTTTTCTAAGTCCAGTAAAGTAAAGAATATAAAATTTTACAAGTCCACAAATCATTAATTTTCTAAGTGTTTTAAAGTTATTTTATGTAAATTTAACAAGTCCCACAATCACTGAATTTAGTTTATCTTAATATTTCACTTCACTGCACTATGTCTATTACTCACGGTTTTACAAGTCCAAGTCCTTTCAATCCCGGGTTTCGGCACCATGTAAAAAGCGGTCACTATCGGGATCCAACACAAATAAAACACTCACTAGTACTGTAACACTAACCACTGTATTAATCTCGTTTTAAAACAAACTCAAAAACAATATTCTATTGACTCGGGTCATAAAATCGTTTTGCGTCTTCAATAGCGCGATTTAACTTACCCGTAACGCCATCTATTGACAAACTATTACAACTAAGCTAATTAGACAGTCTATATAAAAAAAACTTGGTGAAACATCGATATTAATATTAGAATTCATAATAATTAATAAAAAGCTATAACGAAATATGGAGTAAAATAAAGAAAAAATAGAGTTTTGGTAAGAAAATCATTTTTTGTAAATTATTTTTAATAGAGAGCGGTGGTGCAGAACGGGCATGATAGCATGAGAGCGTCAGGCCACCGTTTGCCGTAATACCATGAGTCGGTTTTACTGCCAAGGCGCGCCTATACATGTTTCACATCAAAATCACGTCGATCTGTTGCTACAAAATTAACGAGGCCATGTTTGTATAACACTGTCTCAATTTAGGTCTTCGACGCGAAATGCACCTATATTATATGTTTGAAAATAATATGAAAACGTTAAAATTTAATTTTGTAGTTAATTTTGTAGATGATTAAGAATGCAATAATTGTCATATAATATTTTTATCTACTATGGTAATGAATGTTACAATTTTCTACTAACATTGTTGTAAGGTTAGCTTTTGTGTTGGCATCTCAAATAAAGAATGTTGGTTTCGAGAATTAAATTATATTATGAACCTATCTAAATATATGCCGTTCGTTAGTCTCGCTAAAACTCAAAAACGGCTGGATCAATTTAAATAATTCTTTTTTTTGTTTTATAAAAAAGAATAGGAGAAAACCAAAAAAAAACAGGTGAAAAATCGAAAAGTTCAGAACTGTTTATTTTGTACCTATTCATATACAATATATAGTCTATCTATTCCATATAAATCGTTGAAACGTACCTAGGGATGAACGCGAGCGAAGCGAGGGTGAGCTGCTAGTATTATATAATTATAAGGATACTCGATAGGATATATTGTTAGGAGCAGAACTAAACGTAAACTAACAAGAATATTGGAATTATATGATATGAATATTAAATATATGTATTATTATCACCTACCTATAGACAGCATATAAATAATGTACGACTACGTAATAATACTGTTTTAATTGAAAAAAATGTGTCACGCAAAGTAAACTTATAAATATGGATTATTGTTTCTCCATTTTTATGGATCATTGACATTTTACATCGTGCTTTATAAGGTAAAAATAAACTATTTAGCTTTAAAATCTATATGCTCAATATATTATTGCATTTGTTTTTGCAGACTCAGGTCATCGACTCTTCCTAATTAGTTCTTTCGCTTTATCTATCATCAATGATAATAAAATGTGATTTATAGAGCGCATAATTTCTAACGAATATATGAATAATATAGTAAAAATATCAATCTAACAGAGAATACTGAAATTTACCGTTGTATCCTTTATTTTATATTTAATTTTTGTGACGTACATTTTAACATTGAAAGTATTACTTTTCCGATTAAAAAAATATTATTATTATTTTCGTTCATTAGGTATTCATTATCAAGTTTTTCTTACGTATCAAAATTTTTTTTTGAACTGAGACTGACAGACAGATATGTCGAATTCCAATCAATTGGGAAACCAGTTCGCTCTGGCTGAAAAGATGGACCTTACTGGACATTATTTAATAATAAATAAATCCAATTACATATCGATCGATACGTTATAATACACTTTTATGTAATACATGTTTATATTTATACAAGAAACCTTTTCACATTGATTAATCGTAAGATAATTATTAATTTCGACATTAATTTAATGAAATATATATCGCAAACGTAAAAATGTATTGTATGTATCCCTTCTTACCGTCCCACTGCTGGGCACGGGCCTCCCTTTAATACAAGGGGGTTCAGGCCATAGTCCACCACACTGGCCAAGTGCGGGTTGGCGGACTTCACATGTCTTTAGATAATTTGTTAGGTTATGTCAGACATGCAGCTTTACTCATGATGTTTTCCTTCACCGTAAGACCAGTGGTAATCATGTTGAAAATGATTTGCACATGAAAATATCAGAGGTGCCAGACCCGGGATTTTAACCCACTTCACTCGGTCACTCAAGCGAGCGTATCACCACTGAGCTACCACTGTCTCTAAAAATGTATTTACGTATAATGCTGTGCAATGTTCATTGAAGTCGACAAAGTTACTCGTAGGTATTCAAATGAGAGTTCATTCCAAATACGTGAAACATATTTCAAGACAACGCTATTCAAATACAGACACGCAGTCTGAATTATAAATATGTATTTTGCTCTTAGTATCGTTACCGATACCTAAAAAGGTAGGTATATAATAGACCATGTTATATCCTTCTTTATTTAACTACAACCAAATACATTTTAGAAAATAATTTAATGATGATGCAAGGTTTAATGATGAAGATTGAATGGAAGATTGATTGAAGATTATTTTATGGTGAAGGGTTTCCGTCATCGTGAGGAAAGCTGCACGTCTAGGAGGACCTAGCAAGTTTTTGAAAGACGTGTAAAGTCCGCCAACCCGCACTTGGCCAGCGTGATGGACTATGGCCTGATCCCCCCTGTATTGATGAAAGACCCGTTCCCAGCAGCGGGATCTTAAAAGGGGCTGAATGCATTGAATAAAATCAAGGATGAAAGAAAAACAAATAATAATTTGGTCAAATTTTAGCCGTTTATTGTCAATAAATCGATTAACCGATTTAATTATCTTATAAAAAATGTTAAGAACTGTTAACAGGTAAGAAGCATATGTATAAGAACCGTTGAGATCGCGCCCATCCGTTTGTTAATATAAATTCTTATGAAGATAAACAGCCATGAAACTTGATCGACTCGTTTTTACAATAACGTTAGAATTAGTTATTGTGAGATCGGAATGTTTGCCACAATTAAATTCACTGCTGACATTTATAAGACATAAAATAAATGTATCGATAATTATATCTTTGCTCTTATAATGTAGCGTGACAAAAGCATAAATCATAATAGTTATTTTACAAGCAAGTTGCTGCAGCATATATTATATGTAATATATACATATAATAAAATTCTAACTCAGCCGAATCTGTACATTAAATATTTTTTGGAAAATCTTAATGAAATAGGCATTATTATCGATACAGAGGCCGAATCTATAGTTTTTATAATTTTTGTCTGTCTGTCTATCTGTCTGTTACGGCATCACGGAAAAACTACTGGCGGGATTTTGATGTAATTTGGTTTGATGATAACTGGTTATCTGGGTCAACATATAGGATACTTTTTAGTGCGTGAAAATATCTCATCTCTGAGAAAAAATACAAAAACTGCAATGTAAGAGTATACTCTAATATATAAAACCTAAGAATTTAGTTTTCGATCATTTGGACGCGGGCGGAGCTGCGGGCAATGTATGCTACAGATAATATGTTCAAACTCGGAGTCAAAAGAGTCTTTCTTGGAGAAATTACGATTTTCTGCTAATATTTTTTCAGTAACAGTACGAGTTAAGTTATTGGTAGAAACCTTAAAGAGTAGTCGATTTTTTGCCTAATCTGTTCTATCTACGCAAACTTGTCCTTGTACAATCATATTT